GGTACGCAGGCTTCTCACTGCTGTGGCCTCTCCCGCTGCGGAGCACAGGCTCCGGACACGCTGGCCCAGCGGCCATGGCTCACGGGCCCAGCCGCTCCGTGGCATGCGGGATCTTCCCGGACCGGGGCACGAACCCGTGTCCCCTGCATCGGCAGGCGGACTCTCAACCACTGCGCCACCAGGGAAGCCCCCTGTTATCTTTTAATCTTCAAAATTAGACTGAGTAATATGTACTTTAACACTTTACTGTAAGTATTCTATCATTTTTTTTTCCCTGAATGAGTATACACATGAGGAAATAAGGAAAAGAATAAATAAGCATTTCATACCTTAAATGAAGCCACAGCTTTATCATAAGCTTTTATCAATGCTGTATCATCCCAAATGTCAGAATCATCACTCTGGGAAGGGTAAAGAATAAAAACAATTCATGTTTGGTTGGATTTCATCAAAAATGTGTTAGTAACAAGTAATAAGAGCTATCTTAATTCAGACATAATGAAATTACATTAAAAATGGGTATTTTAAATCCTAAATAAACCACAAGAAGCCTACCTTCTTAGAGATTATGGGACATTACCCCCAAAACTAGACATACGTAAATGTTCTAAGAGTGCCATGAAGTAAACACTCCACAATTTAATTCCTATCCACCAACCATAAGTGGATCTGCTCAAGGGTAATCCATGTTTCAGTCTTTTCTAAGAGCAGATAAAGGGTTTAGTTTGGCAGAATGGGAAAACAACCAGCCACCAGGGATTTAAGACATACTGTCACACAAAAGAATAATATAAAATGAATATGATAAAATATTAAAACATGAAGTACAAACAAAAAGTACAAATTCAGAAGTGGGAAGGAGAGGCTGAGAAACACTCTTGCCATAAACCCCTCTCCTCGTGTGGAGACCCACAGTCAGGAGTGAACTCACAACCTGGAGCTTTTCCCTGAGGAGCAACGGGTCTGAACTCCAAATTGGGCACCCTAGGTTTTAAGAGCAGCACCTCAGAGATGAGTCCCCAAAACATCTAACTTTAAAAACCAAGGGGATTCACGTCCGCAAAACCCACGAGGGAATAGGAACTGAAAGGGTTCCCATGCTTGGAACCACCCCTCCCCTCCAACGACCCAGTGCAGAAGCAGCTGATTGAGAGGCACCCAGACTTTCTGTCAAAGAGGCTCACTTATTGTAAAGTGCTGACTGTAGAGTAGGCATTTAATTTAACATACATCTAGGGACCTGCTGGGACACTAAGGACAGAGGCTAGCAGCACCATCTTTATGCCATCTGCCTCACTCCAGCCAGCAAGCGCCATCTTTGCCCTCTGCTGCTCTCCACAGCACCAGTAACTCCCAGAGGGGAGCTTTTCTGCACATCTGATGTCCCAGTTTTTATGTCTGGTGTCCTGGTTTTTACAGCTGCAGCCCAGGGTGGGGCTTACTGTGTTCTTGGGTCCCAAGAGACAGTCCTTGGCAGGCTACCACCCCCAGGAAACTGCACAGACAGCAGGCTGAAACACACCATTCTTTCTGTGAAAAAGGCCTATTTGCTTGTAAAGGAAATTAGTCTTGAGGAGGAGGCTTCTAGTTTGGTGCATAGCTAGGGATCTACAAAGATGCTCAGAGGCTACTGGATGCAACATCTGCACTCTCTCTCTGCCTGGCTCAAGCTCACTGTATCTCCCAGAAAGGCGCTTAATGTAAAATGTGACATCAAAGACAAAATGTGGAGGGGAGTAAAAATGTAGAGCTTTAGAATGAGTTCAAATTTAACTTATTATCAACTTAAAATAGATGGTAATAAATATGTTTTTATATGTAAGACTCATGGTAACCACAAGGCAAAAATCTATTGGAAATACACAAAAGATAAAGAGAAAAATATCTAAGCATACCATTAGAGAAAATGATCAAACCACAAACGAAGAGAGAGGAAAGAAGGAAACAGAAGAACTACAAAACCTCCAGAAGAAATTTAACAAAATGGCAATAAGTACACACCTATCAATAATTACTTAAAATGTAAATGGACTAAACTTAAATTCTCCAATCAAAAGACACAGAGTGGTTGAATGGATAACAAACTAAAACTCACCTATATGCTGCCTACAGGAGGCTCACTTCAGATGTAAGAACACACACAGACTCAAAGTGAAGAGACGGAAAAAGATGTTCCATGCAAATGGAAATGAAAAGAAGGCTGGGGTAGCAATACTCATAAGACAAGTAGACTTTAAAACAAAGACTGTAATAAAAGGTAAAGAAGAGCACTACATAATAATAAAGGTGTCAATCCATGAAAAGGATACAACATTCAGATGTATTTATGCATCCAACACAGGTGCCCCTAAATATATAAAGCAAATATTAACAGACCTAAAGGGAGAGACAGACAATACAATAATGGTAGGGAACTTTAACACCACAGATATATCATTCAGATAAAAAAATCAATAAGGAACGGGCTTCCCTGGTGGCGCAGTGGTTGAGGGTCCGCCTGCCGATGCAGGGGACGCGGGTTCGTGCCTCGGTCCGGGAAGATACCGCATGCCGCGGAGCGGCTGGACCCGTGAGCCATGGCCTCTGAGCCTGCGTGTCCGGAGCCTGTGCTCCGCAACAGGAGAGGCCACAATAGTGAGAGGCCCACGTACCGCTAAAAAAAAAAAAAACCCAATAAGGAACCATCTGCCTTGAAAGATATGTCAAATCAGGTTAACTTAATGGAAAAATACAGAGCAACAGAAATACACATTCTTCTCAAGTATGAAAGAACATTCTCCAGGATAGATCACATGTCAGGACAGAAGTCTTAATAAATTTAAGAAAATGGAAATCATATCAAGCATCTTGTCTGACCACAATGTATGAAAGCAGAAACCAATTATTAAAAAAAAACTGGAAAATTCACAAATACATGGAGATTAAACAACATGCTACTGAACAACCAATAGGTTAAAGAAGGAATCAAAAGAGAATTAAAAAAATACCTGATACAAATGAAAATAGAGATATAACGTACCAAACTTAGCAAAAGCAGTTCTAAGCAGCAAGTTCACAGATAAATGCCAATATCAAGAAACAAGAGGACTTCCCTGGTGGCACAGTGGTTAAGAATCTGCCTGCCAACGGGTTCGAGCTCTGGTCCGGGAAGATCCCACATGCCGCGGAGCAACTAAACCCGTGCGCCTCAACTACTGAGCCTGTGCTCTGGAGCCCTTGAGCCACCAAATACTGAGCCCATGTGCGACAACTAGGGAAGCCCGTGAGCCTAGAGCCCATGCTCCACAACAAGAGAAGCCACCGCAATGAGAAGGCTGTGCACAACAAAGAGTAGCCCCTGCTCGTCGCAACTAGAGAAAGCCCGCGTGCAACAATGAAGACCCAACGCAGCCAAAAAGAAAGAAACAACCTTAGTTTCACCTAAGTATTAGGAAAAGAGGAACCCAATGAAACTCAAAGGTGGTAAAAGGAAGGAATTAACAAAGATCAGAGTGAAAAGAAATGAAACAGAAACTAAAAGACAGTAGAAAAGATCAATGAAACTAACAGTAGTTTCTTTAAAAAGATAAAATTGACAAACCTCTAGATGGACTCACAAAGAAAAAAACATAGGACTCAAATAAATATAATGGGAAATGGAAGTGGAGACATTACAACTGATACCACAGAAAATACAAAGGATCTTAAGTAACTACAGTCATCCCTCAATATCCGCAGCATACTGGTTCCAGGACCCACCATGGATACCAAAATTGACGCTTGCTCAAGTCCTTTATATAAAATGGCATAGTATTTGCATACAATCCTGCATACTTTATTGTTAGTAACACCTAATATAATGTAAATGCTATGTAAATAGTTGCTGGCATGCAGCAAATTCAAGTTTTGTTTTTTGGAACCTTCTGGAAATTGTTTTTTACCCAAATATGATTGATCTGAAGTTGGTTGAATGTGCAAATGCAGAACCTTAGGATATGAAAGGCTGACTGTACTATGAACAATTATATGCCAACAAATCTGACAGCCTAGAAGAAATGGACAAAATTCAAAGAAACATATACCTTACCAAGAGTGAATCATGAAGAAACAGAAAATCTCAATAGACCAATTACTAGTAAGATTGTTAGAGGCTTTTGACTATTAATTCAAACAAAAGTTCAAGACCAGATAGCTTCACAGGTCAATTCTTTCAAACATTCAAATAAGAATTAATACTAATCCTTCTCAAACTTTTCCAAAAAAAATAGAAGAGGAAGGAACACTTCCAAACTCATTTTATGAGGCCAACATTACCCTAATATCAAAACCAAACAAGGACAACACAAAAAAAGAAAACTACAGGCCAACATCCCTGATTAACACAGATGTAAAACTCCTCAACAAAATATTAGCAATCTGAATTCAACAACACATTTAAAAGAATCTTATACCATGATCAAGTGGGATTTATCACAGGGATGCAAGGACGGTTCAACATTCACAAATTAATCTATGTGATACATCACATTAACAAAAAGAAGGAAGAAAATCATATGATCATCTCAATAGATGCAGAAAAAGCATTTGACAAAATTCAACATCCATTTATGATAAAAACTCTCAACAAAGTGGGTACAGAAGGAACATACCTCAACATCATAAAGGCTATACATGACAAACTCACAGCTAACATCATCCTAAATGATGAAAAGCTGAAAGCTTTTCCTCTAACATCAGGCACAGACAAGGATGCCCACTCTTACCATTTTTATTCAACAAAGCATTAGAAATCCTAGCCAGAGCAATTAGGCAAGAGAAATAAATAAAAGGCATCCAATTTGTAAAGGAAGAAATTAAAATGTCACTATTTGCAGATAATGTGACATTATACATAGAAAGCCTTAAAGACCCCACCAAAACACTGTTAGAATAAACAAATTTAGTAAAGTTGCAGGACACAAAATCAATATATAAAAAGTATTGAATTTCTATACCATAAAAACAAACTATCAGGAAGAGAAATTACTACAATCCCATTTACAACTGCATCAAAAAGAATAAAATACCTAGGAATAAACCTAATCAAGGAAAAGAAAAACTTGTACACTGATAACTATAAGATATTATTAAAGTAACTGAAGAAAATAAAAATAAATGGAAGGATTTTCTGTACTCATGGATTAGAAATATTAATATTGTTAAAATGTCCATATTACCTAAAGCAACCTACAGATTCAATGCAACCCCTAGCAAAATCCCAAAATTTGTATGGAACCACAAAAGACCCCAAATAGCCAAAGCAATCTTGAGAAAGAACAACAAAGCTGGAGGCACCAAGGTTCCCTGATTTCAAACTATATTACAAAGCCACAGTAATCAAAACAGTACGGTACTGGTATAAAGACAGACAAATCAGTGGTAC